ATCGATTTACCTATGATTTGACCCAAAAATATCGATTTATATCGATCTAAATAAATCAATATTTTTACATGTCCCTGCCCATGGTACGTACGTACATGAGATGTGGAAAGATTCTCTAAACTCAGTACCTTCATAAATCACAATGAGAAAACACTTCTCTCCCTATATTCTTTGTATCATTCTTTTTTTTAAATTTTATACTGGCTGTTACAATAAAGGTCGCAGCTGAAGTTAGCCTTGATTTAAAAATATATAAACCCATTCAAAATCATCAAAATCCACTTATACTCTTTTATTATCAAAACCTAAATTCTAACCTAACTATAAAGCTAAAAAACATGCACTTCAGGAAAATTTAATATTAAGATATTTAAAAGTTTCAGCTTCAGTGCTTCTAGCTTCTGCCATGACAATTAATGAGACTGAGGTATTCCGTATTGCTAATTACAAGTACTTATCCAGAATCTCGTGTGTTTTACAAACATATTTTACAGTACAGTGAACATGTAATATTGTTATCGATGGCGACACGAAATTTTCCTCCAGGCCTTTCTTGACAGAACTTCTGTCGCATGAATACATCGGAAAGTCATGTCACGTGATGTGGCTGTAAGTTACACAAATACGTATTGCGCATAATCGGCCGAATTTGTCGATTCATAATCATTTCATGTTTAGTAAATATCATGACAATGTATTTCATAATAAAATTTGCACTGCATGAGGCGTAAACCGCAGTTACAGTTACACGTATCGGTATATACATAATTTGACTAAGATCCTTAATAATCATTGAAACTTGAGAATATAATAACAAAAAATATCACAATATCAATGACTTTTGAGGTTCTTGAAACAAGAGTGAGTTTCATAGTATTGAATTATCTGTAGTGAAATAAAACGCATTCTTATTATAATGTAGATATAGTCGATAATATAGGATAATACAGTATAAAAAATGTCAATTACTTGTTGAGGACATCTGCGCTTAACTTCTTCAATGCTATGCAAAGTTCGCAATTTATGAGACTTCCTAAATTAGTTCATAAATTAAAATAACATATTTATCCTGAAAAAAACTCAACTTTTATAATTAAAAAAATGAATACCATTTTATTATAGCCAAGATATCTTTACTAGATTCGTCATGATAAATCGTCTCAATACATTCAATGTGCGAATCCCAATCTGGTTCATAAAATCGAGGAATACTATCACCTAAACAATACTTGCCAGAATTTCTACCCATTTTATTGCCTTCATTCTGTTTCTTCACGTTAACGGCTTCGGAACTTGATCCATCAACTACTTTTGAGGCGTTTGTTTCGGCAATAGATTTGGATGGTGAAATCGAATCTGTTGTTGTTGCTGCTGTTGGTTTTGCTTTGGATATTGACTTTGGTTTTGGATGGCTGTCAAAATGTTCCCAATAATATTCAAGCAACTCTGCATACTTAATTCTTTAGAAAAGATCACATACTGTTATGTTCTACATTAAGTCATGATGATCTTGGAAACACATTTTTATTCTACTTACATTTCATCTTGAAGTTTCCATGAATTTTCTTCATCTGGATAACCATGCCATTTGACAAGGTAGCTTACACTTCCCTATAAAAAAGAAATAAAAAAATCATAGATTTGGTCACAGAAAAATACGTTACAATCATAGAACATACATTAATAAATTTGTGATCAAGAATTCTTTCGACGACTCTATCTTTGTTTTTTCTATGCATATTTTTGCCTTTACTAATACTACTTGTTAGTATGATTTAAAAACGGTAGCTTAGTTGAAGTGGCTTAGTAATTATGATGCATTTTTTTGTCACATTCTTTTAAAATATGATGACAAAATAAGATTGTTGGTT